AAAAAAAAAAAAAAAAACATAGTAAAACCAATACTTTCTCAGCTTCGCATCGAAGCTAAAAAAGGGCGTGATGTAGTGCAAAGGATTATACGGACGCCCCCTAGCACTGATATTCAGTTACGCTATTTGCTATTGGTTCCCGGATGGGTGACCAACGAGAACAATGACAAACACCTTGTTCCATGATGAGATTGTATCAGGTCGACATCCGATGTAAAAATTATGTCCAATCGTAAGTTAGAGCTAACCCCAAAAAGTTAGAAAAGAAGCTAAGGAGATGATTATTATAATCCTATTGGAATATCATAGAAGCAAGTAGTATTTTGAACTTCGGATGCGAAAGTTCGCATATTTTTTCTTGATGCGTGAAATGGTATACTCAACCTTCTTTTTATCTACTTATTAATGTACAATCATGTATAACAATTATATACATACATTTTTTAAAATACTATATTAATTATTTATACAATAATATACAGAAATATTTTATTTTTTTTTTATAAAATTTTATAACAAATGATAACGGAAAAAAGTGCAACCCCATCGTACACAGTAAACCCAACAAATTCAAACCCACGTGAAACCCAGCAAAGAGGGATCGGGAGCAAGTGCAACCCCATCGAGCAAAGTAAAACCAACAAATTTAAACCCACGTGTAACCCCATCGAGCAAAGTAAGCCTAACAAATCCAAACCCACGTGAAACCCAGCAAAGTGGGATCGGAAAAAAGTGCAACCCCGCCACATAACAAATCCAAAACCGTCCACTATTCTAGCAGAGGCTGCAAAAGCGAAGTTAGATGATTTCGGAAAAAAAGTCCAAACGTTTCGAACGTACGTCTCGCTACGGAAACCAAGGGTTTACTCCGCGATCTAGAGAAGATGGGTTCGGTAGCAGGTTGTTACGGAAGGGTAGTCGGATCGGTAGCAAGTCGTTTGAGCTCTCATATCGATCCCCATAGTCAAGCGGAGGCCGTATATTTGGTCAGAGTATCCGGTCAGGAAATAATCGACACAATCACTCGTCCCAAGTTAGGTCGCATCTAGCGGAATAAATATGATTAGATGTGTACTTTTGACGCTATCCAATAAAGACGTTAGGTGCATTTAATGTATACCCGCATTTTATTTTATAATTTTACTAAACAGGTTATGTTGTTATTATCGTCATTTATATATTGTTCTATGTCGTTTCGTGTGTGTGTGTTACGGTACAGCGTACATAAGTGTGATTAGTGTATGTATTTATTTAAACACGAAAGATACATTTAAATAATTAACAATTAGTAGTGTAATATTTTTCACTTTCAGATTTGAATAACAAAAAATATGGCTCTAACCAGGGTTGGCCAACTAATTAGCCAAGTGGCAAAGCAAAAAAAAAAAACTGCTTGGTTCAACTACGCATTAATAATAATACTTGTTACTTGTTTCATGTATGTAATGTTACACGATCTGTGTTATTTTTATTTGAAGTATAAAAATTAATTTAAATTAATTTAAACAGAAAATAACGTTATAAATAAACGATTACTGGTCATTCAATTGTGGCCAATCACTTACAACTGTATTTGTTAAACTTATAAAGCATAGAAATATGTCTTGGTGTGGTATTAATATAAAAAAGTAACATAAGTATGTGTATTGATTATATTGTTTATTTTCTATTGATTCTATTGATGCAAACAATTTTTTATTCTTAGAATTATTAAATAAAATTATTTTATTTTCAGTGATTTTATTATATCGGGAAAAGACTTTATTGCAAATGTAGACATGGGAAAAAAACACTGTAATGGACTCGAGGAATCATGAGTTGTACAATGAGCAGTATGCAGTTTTCCATGCAGATAATAAGCAAGCGTCATCGCTAAAAACTGATTTTATTTATGTAATAATATATGTAACAATGATAATATTGTAAAAATAAAGCGTTTAATGAAAACCACTTATTTGATGTTTTACTCATTACTTCAATACAATATTTACATAAAAGGGTAAAGCAATATGAGTATAAAAAATATGCAAAAACAATTATTGTGATGTTTAAATGTAAAATAGTGCAATAATAATAATAATAATATCACAAACAAAAATGTGTTGTAAAATAATTAAAAGGAGTTCATAATAATATTATTGAATTTTTTTATGTAATAAAAAAGTATCTAAGTAAAAATAAAAATAATCTAAATAGCAATGCAACGATAACAGTAATAATAGTAATATTGTGTATTATTATGGTATAATATATTATTCCAATTTATACATTGAATTAATGTAAATTTAAATGTATAAAAAAAAAGGTGTTGAATTCGTATAGAACAAAATTTGCTAACGACATTTCAAACCTAATACATGAGATGAAAGTTATTCATATTAAAATAAAGAAGTCAAAATAAAAGCAAATGTTATTATATTAAACTGTTACTATAGAACAGGCAAAAAGAAAAATTGATTTGTTCAATTGTTCGCCATATAAATGTTATATTTCATTTGAACTTTTAAAGTGAAAAGTTATATAATAAATAATATACGCGTATATTAAACAATATAAAAATATGTATCACAAATGGTCGATAATAATTTCTAATGAAGCGTAGAATTTCCGTGTATGATAATATCCATGAATTCCATGTCGGTCGCGCATAAGTTGATATTATTTTGTTGAAACGTTCGTTGTGTTACCAACGTCCTCCAAGTTCNCGTTGTGTTACCAACGTCCTCCGAGTTATTTGTGTTAATTCATTTAAGTTCTGGAAAAAAAATTGAATGTTAATCAAACAAATAAATATATTATAATATACAAATAAATTTTAATTATAACGTATGACATTAGTTACGAATCCGTACGGCAAGCAAAAAGTGNTTCTGGAAAAAAAATTGAATGTTAATCAAACAAATAAATATATTATAATATACAAATAAATTTTAATTATAACGTATGACATTAGTTACAAATCCGTGTGGTAAAAAGTGACTCTCCTATCGAGTTGTAATGCAAATATTTTACAAATTTATATTACTATTATTAAGATATTTTATATCATGACCATTTAACGGATTTGCATTCAGAGAGAACCGCGTGAAGGTTGTCATACAATCTCTCCGCACAAAACGGAAATTTCCCCGCCCGTATAGATGCAATTTGGGGTTCAAATGGCAAATGCACAGCACGGGAAAATAGCCGTTTCTAGGGACACACGGAGACACAGGCAGAATATTCGCATAAACGCCAAAGTGGAGATCCGTCGCTGCCGGCATCCCTAAGTGCCAGCAGCAATCGGGCTTCTTGTCCGGACTACGCTAGGTAGTCCGTTCAACAAACCCGATTCACCGCTGTCCAACGCGGTCGATCAGGCCACTGAAGGACGGCAATCGCAAGTTTGAGCCAACGGGGAGACAGGCTTCNGTACGGCGGCAAGTTGTCCGCTTCCAGAGTGTTGAGAAACTCTACGGGAAAATTGGCCGCCTCGTCGTCGTCGTCGGCCACGACGGTGTCGGTGGCGGTGTACACCCTCTGCGATCCCGTGACTCGACTGCGGAGCACCTGATCGTTGATGTTCTTGCACTCGTCGTTTGTAACACACAAAACAATATGTTTAGCGTAATCGCGGACGTTGTTCAACGACATCGCCCGCGGATAAACAAAGTCTAAAAGAGATGCAAAAGATTCGCTTACCGCACCGACCGGAATAGTTNCGCTTACCGCACCGGCCGGAATGGTCACGTATTCCAGTCCGTTGTTGAGCGAGCCCGCACCGAGCTGCAACAGCCAATCGGCGAAAGGTCGGTCGCCGTCGGCGCGCATGTTGCGCTCAAGCGAGTATTTTCCCATCGAGACTCAATAAACACCGTGCCGTATGGTGGCCGAAACGATTTGGGCCCGCGAACCGCGCTTCACGATGGGCAACGTCTGTCTGAAGTCGCCGGCGAACAGCACGGGTTTGCCGCCGAAAGGCGTGTCCGGCACGTTCATGACGTCCCTGAGCAACCTGTCGGCGACCCGCAGCTGCGACGTGGGCGACATGGACGCCTCGTCCCAAACGATCAGCGAGGCGGCGCGCAGAGCCTGCGCTTTCCTCGATTGCATCGCCAGATACGACGGGTCTTCTTGATCGTGCGGCGCCACCCTCACGCCGAACGTAGAGTGAACCTGTAAGTAAACGCGTGGTGTTAGTGCGGAACGAAATAAACGCGAATCGCAATGGTCGCGCGTTAATTATGCAGAACAACACTTACGGTCTGTCCGCCCTGGATCAACGACGCGGCTATCCCGGTATAGGCCACGGAAATCACGGTCCCTCCGCGGCTCCGGATGGCCGAAATCAAACAGTTGTACAGGAAGGTCTTGCCGCAACCTCCGGCTCCGGAAACGTAGAACAACTTGGGCAATCGACGCCTGGTGTCGCCGACCGCCCGCATGACGCGATCGTATATCGTCCGCTGTTGTTCGTTCAGTCGACCGACCAACTCGGCGACGTCTGCCGCCGCCGTCGCGTTGTCGGCTGGCGCGGCGTCCGGTACTAACAGAGCGCGATCGGGCTCGGGTAAACCG